ACACCAAAGATAGAAAGACAGAGCCGTCCAAAAAGAAGAAATCCGAACAATCGAAGAAATCTTCGAAACACGAGGAGAACGGGAACCATCATTTACAAAATGGCCACAAGAAACATCACAGCCACAAGAATGGCGATGAGGCACCAAAGAAAAAGAAGAAGAAGAGGGACTCCGCGGACGGCTCTCCGCCTCTCACCGCCGAAGAGCGCGCCGAGAGAAAGAAGAAGAAGGCGGCGAAGAGGCGAGAGTCGGCCGCATCGGACGGCTACGTGGTGGAACAGGAGTCGGACCTGAAGCTGAGGATCAAGTCGCCCAGTCCCAGCCGAAAACAGGAGAAGGAGGAGCCGAGAGATCGACATCACTCGGCAGAAGGGAAGAAGAAGAAAAAGGGCGAGGTGAGTATTGAGTAACGATGCTGGATCTTGATGAATTTCCATTTTATTTATCATGCCTGTGAGTCTCCATCGCGCTGACTTTCGTTGTTTTTATCAGTACATACCATGTTTCCAATTGACGAACATTACATTCGTGTTGTGACGCTAGGGTAAATGTGTTGTTGAGAAAGGCAGTCATTATATTTAGTACAGTTTATCTTAGTCTGTTAAATACGTTCTATGTTACGCCACTGGCTGACCCCTAGACCGGATGAAGACCTATTTAAACTTGATTCAAAGTTGTTTCTTTCCTTGCGGCGCTCAGAGGGTGTAATGTCTTAGTGGGAAACCATTGAATGGCCAATGGGTCTGGTAGCTGATTCCATGTCGTATATTCCCTCTGGTTTAACCCAGTATCGCTCTTTCCCCAGTCGAACCGCCAACGTCACCCGTCCGGCATGGCGGCCTTCCTCCCGGAGCGACAGCTCTGGAACTGGGACGGCAAGGGCGTCAAACGCTCCGCCAGCAAGGGCAAGGCCAAGCGGGAGGTCTACAAGGCGATCGTGCGCGGCGCCGAGCGGATCGCCGTCGGAGACTGCGCCGTGTTTCTGTCCGCTGGCCTGCCCGACCGGCCGTATGTGGGGCGGATTCAGGCGCTCTGGGAGACCACGTCGGGTCAGATGCTGGTACAAGTGGCCTGGTTCTATCATCCGGAGGAGACGTGTGGCCTGGACCGGCCCCTGGCAGAACCCAAGGTGAGATGACGCGTCAGTGTGTGTGTGTGGGGGGGGGGAGGGTGTGTGTATGTGTGTGTGTCTGTGTGTAGCGGAAGGGTGAATGAGGAGGTGGATGAAATATAGCGTAATTTGTTGGTGGTGACGGCGTATCAGGAACCCCACAGAGGGTACCTTATTTTCTACCGCAGGACATTTTTCCTGGCAGTAGTTATGACAGATAGAAGTTCACACCAGTTTACGGACCATTTCAGAGCCGGAAGGATGATTACGAGCGAGCGAGCGCAGCGAGCGAAGTGATTCTTTTCAATATAACGGAAAAATCTCAGTATGAGCGGCCCGGCCCGGCCCGGCCTGTAACGCTTTTGAGAGGCTTATATCTCAGCAACCGCTGGACCGATTGGCCTGCGGTCTTTTTTGTTGGGTAGCCCCATCCCTTCTACCCCGTAATTGACTACTTTTGATACATCTCAGTGACCGTCGTGGCACGTGCCACGTGAAAAGTCAAGGGTGTTCAAGCTGTTTTGCAAAAGTAGTGATTTGGAGAGGCTCATATCTCAGCAGCCGCTTGGGCGATTGGCTTGCGGTAATTTTTGTAGGGTAGCAGCATCCCTTCTACCAAAAATAGGATACTCTCGATGCATATGGGTCACTCCCAGTGCACGTGCAAAATACAACAATAAGAGGTGTCAAATTTGTTCCCATTTTAATAACTCGGTAATTACTGGGGCGATTTCGCTGAAACTTGGCATACAGGTAGGCACCCACCAGACAATGCATTCCCATGTGTTGCGGTTAAGGTGCTACTGCACGTGCGCACGTGCAGGGGGCGCTTCCAGATCTCGAGAACGGCTGGGCTGATTGCGCTCAAATTTGGTACACGTTTGGGGACCAGTTAGTAGGGTGCCGTGCAAAAGTCAGTTTGGACCCCGTTTGCACGTGCGCACGTGCAGAATGCCGCTTCCAGATCTCAGGAACGGCTGGGCCGATTGCGTTCAAATTTGGTACACCGCTAGCGACCAGTTAGAAGGGTGCTTTGCGCAAGTCCGTTGGAAGTACCCTCTCGCCCTTCCGCACGTGCAGGGCTCACTATCTCGCTCGCTCGTTCTTCGCCCAAAAGGCGTTTTACTGGTAGGATATAGGGGGAGACATTGGTCTGGGCAGGCACCCTAGTGAGTCGCCGGGGCTGAGCCCGTCCAGAGGACAGCCCACCCAGCCCCAAGGCACTCACTGCACCCGGCTACGGGGTGCGCTCCCTCGGGAGCAGCGGTGCCGCTCCAAGGGAGCAGCCCGCATGAGATAAAGTTGCCTGTCCAGCCCGGAAGGGGGTTGCGGCGTGGAGGAGAAGGATATCAGTATCCTGAGGATAGAAGCACGGAACGGTGCTGTGGGCTCACCCTCCCACTTCCCTTTAGAGTAGTAGTCTTCTGTGTCTCTTTTATCTATTTCTGACCCATCCCCTCCTCATAGGTAGGACTTCTCTGTTCCTTGCTCTCATTTCTAACCCTCTTTACCTCCTATTTGGGTAGTCCTCTTTGTCCCTACTTTCCATTTCTGACCGTCTTCTTTCCCACAGGTTTATCTTCTGTGTCTCTGGTTTCAATTCTGACCTTCCGCCTCCCCATAGGTAGATTTGCTGCGTTCCTAGTTCCCGTTAATAACCCTCCCCTCTCCCCCACAGGGCGGCCTGTTCGAGTCACCACACATGGACGACAATGACGTCCAGACCATTAGTCACCGATGTCAGGTGCTCAGCCTGGCCGAATACCGCCAGACGGTCTCCAGTGGCGACAACGAGACCTTCTACCGGGCTGGGTTCTATGACCCGCGCTGTCAGACCATTCGGCGAGAGCCGGGCGTGTAGGGGAGCGGTCGACCGGCGTGCTGGGGCGGCGGACTCGAGCGCCCGGAGGTTTTAGGTGGGGGGATGGTATTGCGGCGATTGTTTGAGGGAATGGGAGATGGGAGATGGGAGGGGAGGAAGAGAAGAGAGGAGACGGGAAGAGGAGAAAGGGGGTCATGATGAGACAATCAAATCGCAGGAGGTGGCTTGCGAACGGACTCAGTACAACGGATTTACCGTAATTGATGTGAAAAGTGAGATGGAAGCTCTGTCGTCTCACTCATGTTTAATCATGCAGGCACTTAGCTGAGCGCACACAGCCGAGTGTATTCGGAACACACAGAGATGGTGTTTGTCTATTTTTGTGCTATGTTACACCCCCAGATGGTGTAATGTTTTTCCTCTGAAACATTGACAATGCGCCTTGGCCGCGGCGAGGTCCGGCTCAGCTAAGACCGATATCAGGTGTGCTTCGTCAACTTGTCCAGAGATGTCGCTCTGCTATTTTATGAACGGAAAACGGTATTTTGGAAATTATGAGCGAGTGTGTGGCTGTGGAGGTGTTGTTTTGAATATGAGAGGCGAGACGGTGCCTCTAGTCAGCCGTGTGACGTCATACCAGTGTGTGATGTCATCTGTGACGTGGCGATGCGTGATTGGCATCTGTTTTGGCGGGGCTGGGGAGAGCGAGGGACACGGAAGAGCGGGTGCGTGTCGTTTTAGTGGCGTTTTTCGTTGTGTGCTCTTATGGCTAGACGACAAAATGCGATGGAAAGTTTAAGAAGGAAGAAAGACGACGGAGAGATGAGATCTGTGAGGGTAAGAAGGCTGTGCTGTGGACGGGGCGCGACGTTTTGCGACATTGTGCGACAGTTTGCGATGGCCGGGCGTGGTTGGCCACTTGGACATCGCTTGGCTTCACAACTGAGGCCTTGCTCATCATTCAAACTACGTCTGGCGTAGATTCCGCGCCATGGGCGGCATTTAGGCGTGTCTGACTACTTTGTGTGACGGAGCCGACTCCTTGTAAGTACCTGACTGCCGGCCCGCCGGCTTTGTGGTGTCGGTGACGTCACCAGAGCAGGAGATGACGTCACACATCAGTGCCTGGGGGCAGAGGCGTCCGGACGTACACTTTGTGTTGTCCCCGAGAGCATTTTATAAATACGTCCTCTGTCCATATGGTGTGGCAGCGGCCCTTTTAGATGTGACGCCGCACTTTGTGAATGTGTGTAGATACGCTTTTGTTATGTCATTATACGCTATGTGCAAAGATAGATTTGTAATAAATTTACCTGCAAATATTTAAATGGTGTATTTACAGTGGCATTGAAGTGCTTGCAATATTCGTTGTTTCGATCGTAGCGGAACAAAATATCGTATAAATCCCGGCTGAGTAGCTTTTGCAGAAAACGTCTTTAGCTTCCCACTAATTGGTAGCTAAAGCTTATGATGATATAAGGCACAAATTTTTACACGACACGACTAGACTGGGCGCGGGAACGCTAGAAATGAAACAAAAATCTGTCTATGAGGTTGCAAGAGAAGGATGGAGAATGCCTTACACGTGAGATGCTCTTAATCGGTGGAACAGGTCATTTTAGGCATTGCAGGACAAACGAAAAATGCAGCATCAACAGTCATGGGGCTTTATATAGGGACACAACACGCCGTACACATTATGCGAAGAAGTTATCGTTGTTGTTGTTGCTGGAATATTACGCGAAGCCTTCCGACCCAGGCGTCCAACTTCACTGTAGTCGTTCTCTTGACAAGTAGTCACGTCCTTTCTTGTTCGATACCATACCAAGGCGTACCAATTCTTAGTACCGCTTAGCGGTACTAAGCATTTGAATGCGAAGAAGTTGAAGAAAACAGCACCGCTGCTCCCCCAGATTCCATGCCTGGCACCGCCTCTGCCCGCCCCACGTGGCTGCCTCTGCCCTCCCCGGCTCCATCCCTGGCGCCGCCCCTGCGTCTGACCTGCCCCCGGGCGGTGGCCGGGCGGCCGGAGCGAGGCTGGTCCGCCGCGCGCGCGGGCTTTTGCTGCCAGCGGCCGGTGTGTGCGGTGCTGCTCCCGGCGCGGTGACGGCTTCTGGATGGAGTTTCAATTATTGTACGAGGTAAGCCAGCCCCGATATTAGAATTATTTAAGAGATTCGCTTTGCGTGCACAAGTGCCGGGTGAGCGGCAGTTAGCTGGCGCTGCCTATATCTGAACATAAAGCAGTGCTTCCTGCTCAGTCGGGGAAACTATGGTAAAATCTGCTATTTTTAGCAGTCTGCTATTTTTAACAGAAATCTGCCAAAAATGGGTACGCATGTGACGTCATCGTACCCAAATATAGCAGATTTGGGTACGACCCCATGCAAAAGCAGATCTGCACCCTAATTGAAGCAAATGCGCATCAAATGGCTGGCAGATTCATGATGAGAATAGTGCTGAGAGTGATCTCTGCTATTTTTGTTCAGATCCGACTATTTTCAAATTCATTATTTGAAAATAGTCGGATCTGAATGAAAATATCAGAGGACATTCTCAGCACTATTCTAGTAATGAATCTGCCAGGCATTTGATGCGCATTTGCTTCAATTAGGGTGCAGATCTGCTTTTGTATGGGGCCGTACCCAAATCTGCTATATTTGGGTACGATGACGTCACATGCGTACCCATTTTTGGCAGATTTCTGTCAAAAATAGCAGACTGCTAAAAATAGCAGATTTTACCATAGTTTCCCCGACTGTGCTGAATCACCGAATAGCAGGGACGCTTTTCTCCGGTTGTTTCAGTAATGCTCATATCGTCTCATCAATGTATGGGTTAAATGTTCGCTTGTGGGAAATTCAGAAGTAAAATAATAATTGCATTCCCTTTTAGAATTTTAACTATCAACTAGAATTAGGTATGCTTGTTCGTTCAGTTCGATTTTGTCTGGCTTACGAATCGGTCAACATAATATTTTATTTAACTTTTCCTACACTTACTGTGAGTTTCGAGGTTTACATTTTAGTTGTGTTATAATTTGATATTCTGATGGCATTTCTCGCAAAAATGAAAATCATACGTGCCATCCTTCCTAAAATCGTAAGTCGATCGTATCTTCCTGACTGTCAATCCAATAATTCTTTGTACGCATCCTATGCTTTGTGGTAGTGAGGCTTTGCTCCCATGAAGTGTAATCAAAGCATCGTGTCATTTCTTCCACAGACCACAATGTGCGGCAGTACGTATGCCGCCGTTGGTACCGAGATTAGAAACGTCCATCTTGATCTGCCAGTCAAAACTCAACTGCGGCAGACGGAAACTTCAGGTCTCTCAAGGTACGACATGAGCCCACAATAATAAATTAAATTCCAAATAAAACATTTTAGGTGTGGACGCCACATGACCGTAGCAGGTGGTGCACCTTTTAGTTACAATTAACTGAATTAGCTAACTTAATATAGATGGTATAACCTTCTTTTGGTTAGGAGTGAAACGACGATTGAAACGATTGTTCATTCATGTCTCCCTCTCTCTCTCTCTCTCTCTCTCGCTCTCGCTCTCGCTCTCTCGCTCTCTCGCTCTCTCGCTCTCTCGCTCTCTCGCTCTCGCTCTCTCGCTCTCTTTCTCTCATCCCATCACTCTCACTCTCACTCTCTCTCCCTCTCCCTCTCTTTCTTTCTCTCCCTTTCTCCCTCCCTCCTTCTCTGGTTGTGAAATGGCCTTACAGAAGTTCCTGTACTGATTCCACAGTTGTTTTTGTTTCATGTAGGTACGGCTGGCAGTTCGCGAGTTGAGGACACTGCTCCAGTACACCGACCAATGGACGTCACTTCAATGGATCACGTGACCTACTTGACCTTGTAAGTCGGTGCACCGAGACTAAAATGAGTTTATCACACATAAAATAGAATTACCGACTTCTTTTGTTCTGTCCTGCTACTAGCTGTAAGATCGATGAAGTATCCTGTCGATATAGATCTGAAGTGCATGTTTGAATTGAAATTTTGTCGTGACAATTTGATTTTGTTTGTCGTAACCGTGTTGTCGTATAGAAACCTAGCGAATTGTACTTTATGTCGTCAGACGCATCAACTAATAGTTCGTCTTGTCGCCGACAGGTGGTGCTGATGTCCTGCTGGGGGCCGTCCGAGCGTCCGGTTGTTTCATCCTGTTCGAAGGAGCCGCTCGAAGGTGGGCCATGTGGACAAAGCCAGAGACTCACGCGCTGTAATGCAAAACTGCAACGAACGTTAATCAGCGGTTTAGTATTCCAATGGATTGTCTCGCAAAAATGTTTTAATGATATTGCAGCAGTTAATTTATCACCAGAGGCGGATCCAGCTCAGTTTTTTTTTTGGGGGGGGGAGGGGGCAAACCATAACAATTTATCGATTCTTTCCATGCCTCGTCCATAGGCGTAATGTTAAAATTATGCCGTTTGGGGGGGGGGGGGCAAATGGCAAATGCCCATTTTGCCCCCCCCCCCCCCTGGATCCGCCACTGTTTATCACAGCATCGTCTACTTTGCCACTCTATTTACTTTTCACTGCATATGTTGTGCTTTACGGTGGAGCGGCTATTTTACTGAAGTGTAATCACAACATCTTGTCATTTCTTCCACAGACCACAGCTCATGTGCGGCAGCACAAGCCGCCGTTGGTACCGAGATTAGAGACGTCTTTCTCCCGGTCAAAACTGGACTGCGGGATATGGAAACTTCAGCTCTCTCACAACTAGGTATGACATACGCCTGCAATTACGGGTCAAATGTGTATTCAAGTGAAACCAACTTTCTATATGGGCGCCACATGACCTTGGAAGTCGTGCGCCTAAAGCCACATTAACCAAACACACTTTCTATACGGGCGCAACATGATTATTGCAATTGGTGCGCGCCAAAGTCCAAATTAACGAGCTAATTAAACTTTTGCACACGCTATACGTGATTCGCACTAGGTTCTAAATGGTTTGGATGAGAGACTTTGCTAAGGTTCCTAAACTGATTTCACCCTTGTTTTTATTTCATGTGCGGCTGGGAGTTCGCGAGTTGGGGACACTGCTCCAGTACACCGACCAATGGACGTCACTTCAAGGGATCACGTGACCCACTTGACCGGTAAGTCGCCTACTGGGATGACGTTGGGTTTATCATTGAGTTACCGACTGAATCTGCTCTGTCTGACTACTTGTTTTCAAATCGATGAGGTATGTTGTCGACATGCGATTTAAGATGTATTTTTAACATGGAATTTTGTTAAGACAACCTTCTTCCGTGTCTTTTATTACGAACCTCGTTATCGTGTGAAGACTGATCGAGATGTAATTTTCGTTGGCAACTGGATGAACTAATAATTTGTCCTGTCGCCGACAGGTGGCGCTGGTGTCCAGCTGACAACTGACCAACCTCCACGACCTGGCGATAGGAGCCCCTCGCAGGTGGGTCATATTTGGGAAAGGCCGGGACTATGAGTCTGGCAAACGTGCGAAAGGCCGTAGATAGTCCCTGAATCACTGTAAATGCATAGCTGCCGAAGAAAATACTTCTGAAAACTCCGGGAAAAAATGTTCTCCAATATATTCGACTCAATATAAATGCACTTGCATTAATAGCTGTTGGACTTCTTAAATTCAACTCGGCCTTTCTAACGTTTACCATACTGTAGAAGTGTATTGACTGTTGATTATAGTTCGTATTTTTATTCAAAAATGGATTGGCTTCAAAAATGGTTTGGATTTTCCCGACTATGCGTCCGCTTTAGCGATTTAATGCGATCGTAGTAAAATGAAGCGTAAACAAAAATTGTATCATACATATTACTTATTCCCTAATCCCCATTATAATCCGTTCATCATGGGAAGATTTCGATTGCTACATTTCTGTGGTGACGTCGTCATTGAAGACATTTTTGTCGGCCTATTTTATTTATGTAGTGCAAATCCAGAAAAAGCCAGGTTAAAGAATTAAACGATTGGGTTTTTGGGTTCAGATTCAAGCGATGTCCCTTTTCACGCGACAGCTTCGATGAAAAACTTAGAGCCAAACCATTTATGAAAAAAATGGACTGAACCTGGAATGTTTCACTATAGTCCCGCGCTACACTAAAACTCCAGCAGAACAATATCGCTCATCCCCCCCCCCCCGATCATCACCGAAACTAAATTTTGTAACGAGATGCGCGAGGCGGCGTTGGGAGGGTCTCATGAATATGCATCTGAAATAATTCTAAAGTTTGAATTATGATTTTATGTGACGGGTTCATTTCAAGTCAACGTTCAAAATAAAACATTTTCACATTCAATTAGCGTCAAAGATATCAATCCCCTTTCAACTAAAATGCTGATAAAGCGTTATTGAAGTTATTAATGACTAACTCAACTTTGTTTGCTGGGACTTAGAAACATAGCCTGACTAGTTGGAGACCAATTTTATCCATTTAAGTTGTGGTTCAGGTAAGGGTCAGGTAAAAGTTTTTCAATGTTCGGCTGACAAATTTTCACAAAAAATCTAGCGGCATATTCAGTTCATGAATCCAATGACGTTCCCTTACCATTTTGCTGTTTGTAAGGTGCTCCGTAAATGTCATTTGTAATGATCTCTTTATTAGGCCTAATAATGAGGGGTAGACTGTTAGATCTGGGGACTATTTCTGGATATCGTGTTGAAAATCGACACAATGGATGACTACCCATACGTTTGCTATGCATGTTTATTTTTTAGTGCGAGAAATGTGGTTTAAATGAGCTACTAAACAAATAAAAGGAAATTTGATTTTAAAAGAAAGAATGCCCAACAACTTTCTCAAAAATGTAAAAACAATGCCAAAAGTTATATTTAATGCGGTGAGCTTTCGGCTACAAGCCTTCGTCAAACCAACAAAATGACACGATACCAGTCATTTTGTTGGTTTGACGAAGGCTTGTAGCCGAAAGCTCACCGCATTAAATATAACTTTTGGCATTGTTTTTACATTTTGGAGGAAAAGGTCAATGATTCTTGCCGTATTTATTCTCGCTACCTCGTAAAGCACTTTACACCATTAATAAATTTCTCAGTATGAGCGGCTGGCCGGCCGTGCGGACGCTTTTGCGAAGATTATATCTCAGCAACCACTTGACCGATTCATTTGCGTTAATTTTTGTAAGGTAGCCTTATTCCTTCTACCAAGTATTGGACTATTTTCGATACACGTGGGTGACACCTTAGGCACGTGCCATGTGCAAAACGAAGAGGTGTCAGTTTTGTACCAATTGCAATATTTCTACTGCTGGGCCGATTGTGCTGAAAGTTGGCATGTAGGTAGGCACCCACTAGGCAATGCAGTTTCACGTGCCACAGTTGGGTACCCTACCCTCTTACCTTTGTTGACCTCTGATGACCTGACCCAAAATATGACTGAAGTATTTTCGTCGTAATTTTTGAAGTCATGGGTACGGCGCGTCGCCAGATGGCCCAGGAGCCGATTTAGAGGAGGGTGAGTAAACCTCCCCCGGGCCGGCGCCAAGCACCGTTAAAAGTGCTATCAAATTCTTGCGATATTGTGGCTGTATTATTTTGCGATTCATAGTAACTTAATCCAAGAAAGCCCGAATAGGAAAATGTTGATATGTGATTTCCGTTGACCTGAAATATCACATGACCTACAAGAAAGGACCAAAGCAGGGGCGCGGGAACCACTTTCAGACTGGGGGCACACCATAATAGAGATCAACCTAGGAGCCTAGGATAGGAGAGGATTGATATAATCAATAATAAGCTTAGCAATTTTTTTACAGCTTCTCATGAATTTGAATTTAGCTTATTAACCTTCGCCGCGTGGGGGGGGGGGGGGCAATATGGCCTCCCCTGTGGTTTTTACTGAATAGCAAGAAAACAACGGCGCGCAGCGCCGCCAAATTTTCAGTAGGTACCTTTCCGGGCATCAATTTGACACCTTCACACAAAGTTTCAAGTCATATGTCACCTTAGGTCAGGAGTTATTGAGGTCATGTTCGAGCAAAAATGAGCAAAAACATGACATCCGGGGCATTCCACGATAGATCGACCAAAAAACTTAAAATTTACACCCGCATATTTTATTTTTTGCTTAAAATTGGTCTAACGGGTTGTGATGGGCGGGGAACCCAGCTGTAGCAAGGATTTTTTTCTTCGAACAACGGTTTCCGAGATATAGCCTCGGGCAATTCCTGGAGGTCACGCTGCAACCCTATGTTTGGCGGCTTATAACTCAGAAACTGTTGGTTTTCTATAGTAAAAACTTGGTATGGTTCAACTTGCAATCAACCAACAAACGTTTTGGCTATCTCGGATTTTCGATTTTTGAAAATTTTGATCACGTGACATCTTGACCTTTTTTTCGAAGAGTGACCTAGATATTTTCCCAACTGAAAGTCGCAATTTTGTCTGATGACGATTAAAGCCTTATCAATTGTCATTCATATGCGATAATAAAAAAGTGGCTTTCGGCTTGCGTTGACCTCAGGTCAGGTCATTTTTATGACCTTCCCATTATTACGAGCGGGAGCGACAGCGAGATCTCGAGAACAAAGCAAGATAGCGACAAGCGGTAAACGGCCCAGGGTACACATGGATAATGTCTTCAATTTTTACTCAGGTGATTTTCAGGTCAGGTCAAAGATGACGTCACAGGGGTAAAAAGAAAGTCTAAATGGCGGCACTACATATATATGAAGTTTTTCTCGAATAACTTTCGAAGTATCCCAGCTAGGAACAAACTAATAGCACCATCGTGATCCTCTCGTCGATCCGCATCGAAACATGTGTATGTTGACCTCGAAAGGTCAAGGTCAAAAGTTGACCTTAGGTCACGTGACCTTAAGGTCATCATATATATCATTCGACGGGCCTTGACGAGCTGAACACAATGAGCCTATCCGCGCGGCTGTATCTCAAACCTGTAAGGAGTTATTAGCAAAAAACATTTGGTGACCTTTAATGACGTCACATAACCCAAGAGCAACGTCACAGTTGACCAAGAGCAAAAAAGGTCTCAAGGTAGTCAAAGGTAGTCGCATATGAAGTCACTCATGGTATATTAGGCAATTCCGACGCGTTTTAGTGTAAAAATAATGGAGCTGATTTTTCCCCAATTGACTTATAATGGGGTGGTCAAGAAATTGACCTGACCTCAGGTCATCGGTATCGAAATTCAAAACGAACTGGCGCTAGGCGAAAGCAAACGGATTGGTGCCTATACTACGTCTCTTTCTTTATTAGATCAAAAGGTACAGTCAAAAACGGAAAATTATTGTGTGTTCAACGCGTGACCTCGGATGACCTTTCAGCGGGTCACTGATACAAAGCTGCACCAGTGCCATCAATAATAGCCTAACTCAACATGATTCAAAAGTATTTGAACCGGTCAGATGCGTTTCGGTGGTAGCCGATATTTCTGCCATTGACGGACAGGTAAAAAAATGACCTGATCTCAGGTCAATGCAGGCCGAAAGCCACTTTTTTATTGTCGCATATGAATGACAATTGATAAGGCTTTAATCGTCATCAGACAAAATTGCGACTTTCAGTTGGGAAAATATCAAGGTCACTCTTCGAAAAAAAGATCAAGATGTCACGTGATTAAAATTTTCAAAAATCGAAAATCCGAGATAGCCAAAACGTTTGCTGGTTGATTGCGAGTTGAACCATATAAAGTTCTTACCATAGAAAACCAATAGTTTCTGAGTTATAAGCCGCCAAACATAGGGTTGCAGCGTGACCTCCAGGAATTGCCTGAGGCTATATCTCGGAAACCGTTGTTCCAAGAAAAAAATCCTTGGCACAGCTGGCTTCCCCGCCCATGACAACCCATTATACCAATTTTAAGCAAAAAATAAAATATGAGGGTGTACGGCTTTGGTCGATCTATCGTGGAATGCCCCATCTTGAAACGCTCACAAAATCTACAGTTAACAAGCAATTTCAAAGTTCTGTATGTGGTCGTGTAGAGAAAAGACAGCGCTACAAAACTGCTATCTTAGATTTTGAAAATTTTGGGATTTTGACCCCCATTTTTTTTTTTGGAAAAGCATAAAAAATTCCCATAACAGAATATATATGATAGTCCCTGAACTCCTCTATCTACATACCAAATTTTAGATCGATAACTCCTTTTTCGGCCAAGTTATAGCGAAAAAATTGTTTAAAATTGATGGCGTCAAATTTTTGAACTCAATTTTTAGCAATTCACGTTGAATTCGTTGAACGTTGAATTCACGTTGGATTCACCACGTTGAAGACCACCATTACTCCCCGTAACGAGCTGCATCGAATCGATACCCATTGTAGGCAAAAATATAAAGTTTGGAATTTGACCTTATTTGACCTGACCTTCATCAGAAAGTAACCTAAACTGGTGCCAAAGGCTGCCTGGCCCGCATAATCGCATTTATCATGTAAAATGAACCATAAAACATGCATCACATGATATTTTCATATTATGACCCTCAGTGACCTGACCTGGTGTCAGTGACCTCGAATAGCAAAATATGTCTTTGACGAGCAATTCCCTATCGATGATTTTCAATGACAAGCATTTTGCTCGATTTTACAACACATTTCTTGAAATGCCTGTAAACGGTGAAAATTCGACCTTTGACCTGACCTGTGTCGTCATCGGTTTCACCGAGGTCAATGAAATTTGGTCACAGTTCCCCATTGGGGCTATCCAACACGGTTTGCTGTTTGTCGCTATGTTGCGTGGTTCTCGAGATCTTAGGAAGGGGGGCCAAAATGCCCCCCCCCCCAACGCTGCTCGGTAGCTCGGCAGACCCCAACGGGTCGCGGGTTAAAAGATTCTGTTAAAAACGGTTGCGAATAATGCATCTCTCTGTACCATTTTGCCATGTCTCCTCTAACGTTTAATTACGTTTGGGAAATGATGCTCAAGCGGCAATGAACACAATAAATCGCAGGCGAAGATATAAAAGATAAAGGATATATTCACTCGGTTTCCGTTTTACCATGTAACAAAAAATTCGTCTGTCTTATTCAAGCGCCTCGTACCAAAACGAACATAAAAGTAATATTGGTATACTTAACGTATTTCTTAAAAAAGAAGGTCATAAAGCGGAAAAGATATCTTGAAAACGACGAGTAGATTTCATTTAGGATATTCATTGAATATTATTAATGCTTAATGATTGCTGCACGATGGGCTTCGTTCTAAAACTTATTTACGCTACGACCTTTCCTGGAATAAAACGTTATTCTATCTGGATAATAATCTCATGGCTTTCATTGTACCTAAATCGGTTAATTTAATGATAGATGTCAAACCCCTTTTTATACGTACCGTTTACACCTGTATTTCATGACCGTGCTCTCTGGCAGCTGTGTAGTATCGGCTACATTCCTTCAAATTTTGGTAGCACAGCAGTTCATATTCATGCCAAGAATCAAGTTGGATTCGTGGCATGGATATAAGGTGTGCTACCAAAATTTGGGGAGATGCAGTCGAAACAAATATATAGTTGTGGTGTGCGCGGCCCCGGACTTACTGGCCCGGGGCCTCATGAACATCACAACTTGCACCCGACAATCCAAGGAACAATTCTGATCACCGCCGGCCGCAGGGGCGGTCGCTCCGCAGCGCGACCGCCCCCGGTTGCCGGGCGGAGACCAGAATTGAACCCTGGACTGCCGGGTGGAAGCCTGATGTTCACCAACCTCGCTACCGAGGCGGCGGGAGACGGTGGCCGGACCTCGGACCCGGTGCCACCTCGGCCGCTGCCCCTCCCTCCCTACCCCACTCCGCCGTGTGCCTGGCTCCGCCCCTGCCGCCCGACCTGCCCCCGGGCGGTGGCCGGTCGGCCGGTCCGCTGTTGGCAACGAGGCCCGCTGCGCCCGGATATGTCTGACAAGTGACACTTGTTATCGACATAAGCGATACCGTAAATGGGGGTGACTTTGTCACGTTTCTCGAAAAAGGCTTATGGTGATCTCCAGTGATATTTTACAAAGATAGCTATCATTTTTGATGCACTTATGAAAGATAATTGCACACATGTGCATGGATCCGAGCAAGTGGATCTGGGATTGATCTCACGGATCCCTCGGGATCATAGATCCGAGTGTAATTTTTTGCTTGATATCCAGTGATCATAGATCTTCGTTTATTTTTTGTCAACACAGAAATCCCAAAAAATCACTCGTTGCATCTCACAGACGTTCGTTTTTAGTGATTGTATGTAATTGCACGTCATAATCCATAGTATTGTGGCACTCATTGCCATAGAAACACTTCATTCACTGAGATAATAGAATCATCACTCGGTTCCATGCACATGTCTGGATCGGTCCTTACAATATAACTATTATAGCTACCTAACTGAGCTCAATTTATTGGAGCCATTAGTTCAAGAGCTCCAAACTAGATTAAACCTTTGGTAATGAGGGTGGCGGTAAATTGCCGCAAGAATTTCCTCTTTCTCTCGATGCCGCTGGAAGAGAGCAGTATTTCTGCCTACCTTAGCTATTCTGAAGCATTTCCAAGTTGTCGTTTACAATCAAATTTTCATGTCAAATTTCATACATGAAATATTTTTGTAATAATGTTTACCCCCGTTTACGGTACCGATGTTTATACTATCGTTAATTTTTCGCCGGCAGGCCTTCTCTACCATATCAAGTCAGAGAATACACATCCCTGACGTCCTTCCTTCTTCGGCAGGTCTTTGTCGACCGGCGCCGGTGTCCTCTGCAGTCCGGACGACCACAGAACATCGCAGCAGTACGTGTAATTGGAGAAGAACCGGTGGTGTCGTGCAACAGTCACTGGATGTGACTGATGGTGTCCGAGGGGGTAATCGGGGGAGGGGGCAGGTACGCCTGCATTCTCTCCTGGTTATACCTCCTCCCAATACTTGGGTGGTATGTTTCCTTCAAGACATACCACCCAAGCACTATACTGGGTGGGGGAGGGTAACAGGGTGGTCCCCGGTGGACCACTCGTGTCGGGGACGTGTGGGATGGGGGGGGGGGGTGTCAGTCACCAGGTGGCGGCTACCGGAAACGGTAGTCGCCACCTGGCTGACCGCCCCCCCCCCTCCCACTCAACCCGCACGTCCGCGGCACTGGTAGGGGACGTGTGTGTTGGGGGGAGGGGTGTCAGCCGCCAGGTGTTGGCTACCGGGAACGGTAGTCACCACCTGGCTGATCCCCTCCCCACCCAACACTCACGTCCCCGACACAGGTCCGCCGGGGGACCCCTGTTACCCTCTCTCCCAGCCAATAACGGGGGGGGGGGGGGTGTATGTATGGGGAGGGTGGCGTACGTGTGTCGTGTGCATGAAATAAAAAGATCAATAGAAGTGGTATCACATGTATTTTTCTCCTGCCGGTAATGACATAGCCCCCCGTACAACTATACACAGCAGGGAATGGATTACCCCCCGCCCCACACACATGGTGGGGGAGGTGATAATTAGGGGGAGGCAAGGACACTTACCTCCCCCCAATTACCCCCTCCGCACGGTAGGGGAGGGGATAATCAGGATGTAAGGCAGGCATGCCTACCTCCTTCTCCCGATTACCCCTCTCCCCCTACACATGATAGGGGGAGGGGATAATCAGGAGAGAAGGCAGGCGCACCTACCTCCGTCCCCCGGATTACCCCTCTCCCCTACACAGGGTAAGGGGAGGGGATCATCAGGGGAGAGAGCAGGCTCACCTACCCCCTTCCCCCGATTACCCCTCTCCCCTACACATGATAGGAGAGGGGATAATCAAGGGAGAAGGCAGGCGCGCCTACCTCCGTCCTGATTACCCCTCTCCCCCTTCTCCCGCTCCCGTTTGGACGCGGTTCCTCTGTTCTCCGACTCTTGATGCTCCTTGTTTGAAGTTCTTCGCGTGCAAACAACCTGTGGAAGAAGAAGAAAAGAACGTCAAGAATATATATTTGGTCATTGGACACCGTAACTCTAGAGCCACTTTTCTACTTCTTACACAGAAATCAAACCGGGACGTGAAACTGAATGAAAACATTATTTAGACACTTGACTCCTGATTGCCAGGCGATGGCTGGGACCCATATATACAAAGTACAACACGTAAGGCACAACTATACAGCCTGTTTTTAAGTTTGACCCTTACTGTAAACGGCTCTGAACAGAACATGAACTTAGGTGGATAAATTAGTCTGAAAACTTGTAGGCGTTCATTGCATTTCGCAAATGGTTAACTTGGATTGTTTTTAGAATAAATATTATTTATCTCTGTAATACAACGTTCTAAGTTCTTTGAGTAGCTTTGTCATTCATTGTCTCAGCAAATCTCGCGTTGTGTTCAAAAATGTGTTTATAGTGAGGGTCAAACTTCAGAAAAAATCTACTGCGCATGTACATACATTTTACAGACATTTACGCACACATCACATACACATTACATATACACTACACATTTGCGAAAATGAAATTGATTCATTCGTACGTTAACAACTCATTCCAATATTGGTAATTGAGGTAGCGGTTGGCGGCGGCCCAGCGGCCGCCGCCAACCGGGGGAGGGGCAACTTGTTATCCCCCTTTGATTCTCCGATGTATTGTATTGTGTTGTATTACCGTCATGGACAATCCACACGGGGCGTGGCGATTACAGTCCAATTTTAGGAACGATGACTTCGTTCCTGTCATTCATACAGCTCAACTCCTAAAATTTTGAGACTCACCGAATTGCATGAGAGCCTCAGTACTAACAATTTGCATATCTCGGATTTTCATCTCTGTGCCTTGGGGTTAGAGGAGAGTTTTGACCTTACCATTGTAGGTACTCCAAGGCAAGGGGAAGCACAAATTCCTACCGCTTTGACCAAATCCGTCAAAACCACAAGATGTTAAAAGAAACATGACCATTTTACCCATACGCAAATGACAGGGTTCGTCTAACGGTTAGCAACCTTTCAATAGGTCATGCTAGCTCATGAAAGGTCACTAGCAATTTCCGACAATAACTTCTGATAGGAGCATTGTAGAGCAATGGAATCACCTTGAATTTGTTCAGGCATAGACCACTATATGTCGTTCAGGTCGTCAACACTGATCGAGTGATATGCAACACGGCCTTTTCTGGTCAGGCCATGATTTTTACCTGAAATAAAATCACAAGGTTGGCACTTTCAGGTCAACTTAATTCATTTCGAGTCTGACAATTCCAACGTAATACTACGGTAATAAATTAAACGTTATTACAGAGCGAGCGAAGCGAGCGTAGTCTTTCCTTAGATTAACGGAAATTTCTGAGTATGAGCGGCCGGCCGTGGTCACGCTTTTGCGAGGCTTATATCTCAGCAACCACTTGACCGATTTACACGCGGTAATTTTTGTAGGGTACCTTCATTCCGTCTACCAAGTATTGGACTGTTCCCGATGCATGTGGGTGACCCCTTATGCACGTGCCACGTGCAAAACGAAGAGGTGTCACTTTTGTAATTGTTGCAATATCTCCGTAACTACTTGGCCGATTGCGCTGAAAGTTGGCATGTAGGTAGGCACCCACTAGGCAATGCATATCCATGTGCCAGAGTTGGGGTGCTGCTGCACGTGCGCACGTGCAGGGGTCGATTACAGATCTCGAGAACGGCTGGACCGATGGCGCTCAAATTTGGTACATGGTTAGGGACCGGTTAGTAGGGTGCCGTGCAAAAGTCAGTTGGGACCCATTTTGCACGTGCGCACGTGCAGGGTGCCGCTTCCAGATCTCGAGAACGGCTGGGCCGATTGTGCTCAAATTCGGCACATCGCTAGAGACCGGTTAGTAGGGTGCCGTGCACAAGTCAACTGGAGGAACCCCCTTGAAATTTCGCACGTGCAAGGCTCACCCTCTCGCTCGCTCCGTTAGTCGCCCCAAAAGGCGTTATACTGGTAGAAATATCAACGCAGAAGTTTTTGCGGAAGAAGTTGTTTCGTAAAAATCCGTCTATTTTGCTGGTTTTTGCTCTCTCTGTGGGGCAAACCATTGACCTGAAGTGAAACTCAATGAAATACCAGTGGAATGACATACCGAACGCGCTTTTTTTAGACTCTCTAGCTCTTTTTGTTCAAGAGTTATATGCTGATTTCTAAAAAGATGTCCAAAGCTGGGACATGTGCGTGCAAGTTTAACCCGGCGGCCGCTGGGCCTCCGCGCCACCCGCCGGCCGCTGGGGGGGGGGGGGCATATAGTTGCCCCCCCTTTACTTCTGCGACGATATCGTCGCAACGCGAGGAGATAGAGAAGCGAAACTTTGCACACATCGTCTTGAATACCTAGCCGAGGTTGTGTCCAAATTTGGTGTTGATCCCATTTGAAATGACGTCACAGTGACGTCATAAGTGAAATTATAGATTTGCGACTCTCATATTCCTCACGATACATCCGATATATGGGACCGAATATAAAGGACCGATTATTGGTCAGAAACTAGATGGAAGTGTAGTTAGATGTTTTAGGATGACAGCAGGTGCTGTCTAGTTCATTTACAGTTGAGTTCCATGCTCAGCGTCATCAGAAACGGTCCATATCGGAAAACGGCAAAACTGTATGACGTCACTGTGACGTCATCTTAGGTGCTACAACCACCAAAATTTCCTCAAACATTGCCTAGGTATTCATTTAAAGCTATGCCAAGTTTCACGTTCGTAGCTCATCAGGTTTCGGAGATATTTCACAAAACGTAAAGGGGGGGGGGGCAACTTTATGCCCCCCCCCCAGCGGCTCGTGGGTTAACCTTTGGTAAAGTCCAAAGACCCCAGCGATAACCTGTTTAAAAGAAATGATCTCAAATTTATTCGTTTTAACTTAAAATCGCAAGTGCAAAATTGATTTAAATAAATTAATTTAAATCCGAATTAATATCAGCTACTTGTGCATTTTCACAAAATTTATGACTTTCACAACTTCAAACTTTTTTAAGCCAACTCATCGTTAAGACATCCTATTATATAATAAGCCATTGACTGAGGCAGGGATATTTAGCGGCCCAGCTAATTACTCGCAAAAAGTAAAAACTCAGTAACCTGGGCAGCGCTGTGATCAGCGCAATGCTGTGACTGCCGTACAACTTACTGTGCCTTCTCCTACATCAGTTTTACGTCATCTCTTATCTTTAATTGGTTTCGCAAACAAAGAGTTATAACCAGTTATAGTAAAGAGCTATAAAGAGTTATATAGTTAGTAAAAAGTTATAACAAACGTAAAACAATCGACCGTATCAACTGCCTATCTATAAAGTTCAAGGAAATCGTAAGGGCCGCCCCTCGGTTTTTCGCAAATAACTCACGTAAAAGCGGCCGATTGCGACGAAACTTTCAGTACCCACGAGTTGATCAATTTTACACCCACCCTAAACATTTCATGAGCCTGACACGAAAGACCTTGACCTGTGATCTATTTCTCGAGATCATGCTTGGCCGGAATCGCGATTCGGCGTATGTTGCCTAACATTATCCGCGCGTTTCCCTTTTTGTGGTTGTAAACGTTCAAACATGTGAAATTATGCCGGCCCCATGCATTATAGTTGGTGTCAAGGTCACGTGAAGGTCAGGTCAAGGGCATTGACCTTTGATGACCTTGGTTCACTATATGGTTCACTTTTTCGAGTTTTGCTTGTTTCTAAGGTAGTTTTGGTGCCTTCGTAACATGTTACGAAGCAGTCAGTGGTGGTGCACCTACAGGGTGTCCCAGAATTGACCGAACATTTATTTCCTGGCTAAAAGTACGATTCAGCGCTCGATGCTAATTAGATACGAGCATTATACTTTTATAAGACATATCTTAGCTATCGAGCTTGGAGACTGTGTGTTTTTGGTGACCGGTCACGACTCGAGTCAGTTATCATCCAGAGTCAGCAAAGAGAAGTCCCTTTTCGTTTTCAGCCTCAGCAAACAAAAGGCAATCATGGTGAATAAAGTGCAATTCTGAAATTCGTAAACGGACTTTCGGCATGGTTCTTGCTGGAGAGCTCCAGTAGCTCATTTGCAAGCAGGCAGGGGTGAGCAAACCGCAGTTATATCAGCGAGCGAAGCCAGAGAGAGCAAGAGAAAACCTGATGGACAAGCCTGGGCGCGACCAAAAAGGAGCATGCACCAGTCGTCAAGCGGGTGGTTTGCCATGTCATGGACAACAAACGTCACCCATCTACCCAAAAACAAGCTAAACGACAGATCAGGGTTAGCAACGAAACATCAGTCTACTTTTGACCACTATCTTAGACAAAATTTTGGAATTTGGGGCCCCACATCTGAAAAAATATGCCAAAACTAACGGGAAGACAGCGCAAATCGCTACAAAGCAGCCATAAATCATAACATATGCAACAAAAAAAAAAGTGAATGGAAACACACTTTGCGGTCTTACGAAGATATTCTGCCCTTTGAAGCGACACAAAAAAGTCGTGTGTGGACGTCAGATGGTGACAACGCCCAACAGCCGAGACGGCCAGGCACTCGTCGAAAATCAAAAGGTGAGACATTTTGAGCCACGGTGCGCTCCTTCAGCTCCACGTGATGCCCCAAAGACGACCGTTAACACAGATTGCTACTGCGGTAATATTCAAGCATTACAAAAACTGGTTGTCGTGAACTGAATGGCCATAAACGGGTTTGTTCTGGAAACCAAATCTGTTGGAAGCCAAAGGTCACGCCATGTTCAGGCATGGAGGTTCTCCACTTCAGATGTAAAAAAATAGCGCAACAGTGGTGTAGGCAGAATTTTCGGTTTTGGGAGAGAATGCCTTGTGGCCTGTGAACAGTTTGGATGCAAAGTTAATCGAAAATATTTATAGTATCCACCAGCAAGAGGTCAATGAAAACCGTCTTACAACCAGTATCGGGAGACCCGCAAAACAACTGAAGCCAGCATCGTCTGGCATTTAGCTTCAATTGTCGGCTAATGTTGTAGCTAGCGTGACTATTGCATGTGCCATTTCAAAGCTACCCTTATTGGCTATATCGGACGATAAAAAGAAAAAAGTGCGATTATTTTTCCCTTATCTTATGCGCTGATTAACAGTGTTCGGTCAATTCTGGGACACACTGTATTGTGAATACCCGGCAGGACGCCCACTGGTTGGCCTGACCAGAGCTGACCCGACCTGGCCTAAATGCATGAAGACATCATCTGTGATCAAAACTGACATGACTTTCGTGATGGGAGTGAGAGAGTTGAAGTGTCACGATAGCGTAACGACCGTCGTCGTATAGCGTTGATGTGCATTGTCGCTTCGTGTCGCGCACTGTCTGGACACGCAATTTGTTGATTTGGTAATAAATACGAGGGAAAAAAGACATGACATTCGTGATCAGCACCCCTGAATACCCTATAATATCCTCGTTTTGCGAAGTTCTGACAGGGCTCGATTTTCCCGACTTTTTGGCGTTGACCTGACCTGGAAAGTTAACCAGTGACATAGGACCTCAAAAATGGTTATCATCGGCTTCCAACGTCACGGGCAACACGCTCGTTTTTCTGCGAACCACTGGCTCTATCAGAGGCCGATCGGCAACGGGGGGGGGGGGAGGGCTACAAGTTTTAAGTTTGAAATTGACGCATAAAAACACGCTTCAGACAGATCAAGAAACGTGCGTAAAACTGCAGTAGCATTGCGTCACTTTCGTTTGAACGGTTGCACTCTGTACGACACAATACACAGGCTGCCCCACGCCTGGACCTTACGTGCAAGTACCCACGAGTCTGCGAGCAAGCAACTCTGATAGTATGAGAGTTTCCGAGAGTTGTTCAATGTCACTACAAGCGCGGGATGCGACGACGGAGCTTTTAAATATGCTGCAATTTATAAATTGTTAGTAATTTTCTATCGTCGTTGACAAACTGACATGCGTACGCAATACGCATATCACACTGCCCGAGGGAATGATATCTTGCAAACAGAGGTTATCTTTACGGTTAACACCACTCGTATAGTGGGATTTGAAAATGGATAATCCTCGAGTCTCGACTTTGTGCACTTACATGAAACACATTTCGGGCAACTGATTCTGGTCGTTGTCGATATTCCGTCAGAGATTCCGTCAGAAGTAGAAGATAGTTTGAAAATAAGACCTATAAAATCTTTTTAAATTGTAAACGAGTTCAAATATTAAAAAGTTTCTTTAACTTTAACTGAGTAAGACTTTGTCCCGGTTTTCGTACATAATGAAGCACTTGGTGCGACTCGCATCTATAGAACAACGCCTATCGGAGAACGCTTGCAACGTATGTAGGCGAACAGTTCGTCCAATATCAGCTCTTCTGAAAACTCAAGCAAATTGATGGTTCTGTGTGTCGTAACACGCATAAAGGATTCTTGAACTTTGAAAGACTCGCAAGGACTCAAAACTCGCAAACCCGCAGACTCGCACGCGAGGACCAGTTTGCCGTAGCCATACATATATGTCACAACAGATATACAGTGCCTCTTCGGTGCACCGACCCACCTGGTAAGCCGACTCCTGTGGCGGGTCCCGGTGGTGTGTTGGAGCGGGGCCGGCATCTATCGCTCTGGTGAGGTGAACCTGAAAAACCAGTGCGAAGGGATTAATGAATGAAGAAAAGCATGTATGGAAAAACGTAACATGAAATCAGAGTACGAACTCACAAGATTTTCAGTGTTTTGAATCGGCGTAACTGAAAAGGCAAAGAAATGCCAAAATAAGTAAAGGTTTACGTAACACTTTCATTGAGTTTACACAATAAAACATTTTCCATTTGTAATTAGACTCGCAGATAATAACAAAATAACTTACCTCTGTCCAGATACGAGGCGGCTGCAGACTGACTCCGGAGTTCGATGGAGGTCCGTTCAGTGGTGACTGGCCGATGGACGGACGTCTGGTGTCAGCTGTACCGGAGCCACACTCCTCGTATACTCACTCCCACACTGCTGCACCTGTCGCAGAGAGATGGCGCGGCGTCAACACACGCTGAAAATGTGTGCTTAGTTTTCAAATCACGACACTGTGAATTTTTATCCGACTAAAAGCTGAGTGTTGATGTTTGATTTGAGAAAATACTAGATGGCCATGTTTGCGCGATAACTGTAGGTAACTAAACACCACTGACGGAGGGGGACGACAGAACCCTTATGTCCTCCTTCCTAAAGTCATACAAATCGTATTCCTTCTACATAATTAAGTTTGCCGTTATTCAACACCATTAGCTATACATAGTATGAAGGCATGATATTATGAAGGGAAGCTTCGTCAGTCGTCACATAAGTGCGACCCTACCCATAGATGAACCTAGAGCACAGAATTGGCATAGATCGATGTCGCTAGCGTACAGCGCTCAAAGGTATGCTGCGCTCCATTATTAGAATCCCGCCCAAAGATGTCGTTAGTGTACGGCGCCTGAAGTTATGCTGCGCCGCCCTGTTAGAATCCAGTTCATAGATGTCGCTAGTGTACAGCGCCTGAAGGCATGCTGCGCCGCACGGTTAGAATCCAGATCATAGATGTCGCTAGCGTACGGCGCCTGAAGGCATGCTGCGCCGCAAAGCTAGAATCCATTTCAAAGATGTCGCTAGTGTACAGCGCCTGAAGGCATGCTGCACCGCACGGCTAGAATCCAGATCATAGATGTCGCTAGTGCACGGCGCCTGAAGTTATGCTGCGCCGCATAACATAACGCCCGATGTAGCCGCAAAGCATCGAATGCACTGTGGGTATCGCTTTTATATAGACCGGGGGCTGACGATCGGGAAATCCGAAAGTGCATTCGACTGACTGCTTGCTCCACGATATCTGTGGCTTTCGGCAGAACAATCCCTGATGGTGGGAGATGGATTTTGACCCCCCCCCCCCGCATGTTCACTGCTCAATACCCAAACGAATAGCAGATGAACCGACAAACGAAAAAATTGGATCAGCCAGACCCCAGCTTATGACCAAAATTGGCGAGAAAACATTGGTTAAACTGCACACATTAAACTTCAAACTATAATCTTAAACATCGAGCTGCACAGCTATAATATGCTAATGCAACTAGCTACAGCACACGTAGATAGTCCGACCGGCACCGGTAAAACACAAATTATACTGCCGCTCTAGACGTGCACTTACCGTTCAGAGTCTGTGTGGCGATAGGTCAGAGGTAGTCGAACATCGGACCGGTGGCAGGTCCAGCCCCTCTCGGGTCAACAATGCAGCGGACTGGAGCCGACACTGGGAGACCGCCCAGACACCAAGACATGCTGAAACGGCACCAGGGGAATCAGGTCACTCCCCTGAGATACATGCAGTGGGCTATCACTGAGCAGCAGAGCCCACCGGTAATCAACATCGAAACGGAGCGGTTAATCTACTTTGGGAAATGTAACAACGATCTTTCGACACTACTTAGTTTTATTAGTAATCATTTGTAAGGGTAGATAACAGGAGCACTCCGCATGCCTTCGTCAGCAAAGTTAAAACAATAGACAAAAAAACCTCGAGATGCCATTCAATGTCGGCTGACGAAGGAAGCGAAGCACTCCCGAAAGCTCCACTTAGAAATCATGAATATTGTTGGAAAAACGTTTATATGTACATGTACGGTTCTCCAGGGTATTAGTCGTTGGTCGCTCGGCGAGCGGGAGGGCAACCAGTTCCGCCCCTGTATCGCGTGACCCCTTGCTCCCCCCAGTTACGCACGAGCGTACTCCACGCCGCGTAGTAGCGTGGGGAGGGGAGGGTTAGAATGGTGGCATGTGTAGAGGCTAGAACCGGTTTCCACCGCCATGCCACCACCCAGCGACATGGAGCGGGGTCAGTGACCAGGGCGCAGGGAAAGGTCAGAGGTCAGCTATAACATAAACCTTTGTGTCTCCCTCCCCTCCGCGTGTAACGACCGCACGACAGCGGCCGGCCGCCGATCAGGCTTGACATGTCAAGGTCACCCGCAGTCAACGGGCTCAGAGGGTTGGTCGAGTGCGCGTCCGTGGCCGACGACAGTCTCGACCATGTGCTATGGTGCCGATAGACTAGCGTGGGTAATAAGTTTTTGTTCAGTGCATATGACTGCTGGGGTGTGTCATCTTGATATGATGCTTTGTAACATGTATGATACGCTTAAAACCTCGCTGGCAGTGGCCGAGAGGAGAGGGGGGAGGGTGGGGAGGCGGGTGCCGCCTCCACATGTTTATTTTTGTTGATAGCTGCGAGAGCTGAAATTTGGCAAGCCTGACCTTCGATTCAAGCTGAATTTTTATGACAGCAGCTGTATTTTCACCCTCGCCCATATTGGTGTTTTGTCAGCGTCTATCGTAAAGGGGGGGGAGGAGGGTCCGTTGGACCCCTTTGCCGTTCAGCCCCTAATCGAGCTAGAGGTTCGCGAAAAAGAGCGTGTTGCCCGTGACGAGAGGAGGCCGATGATACCCAATTTTAACCCGCGCCCTGGTGGGGTCTGTTTATAACGCGACCTGGTGGGGGGGGGCTATTTTTTGCCCCCCCCCTCATATCTCCGAAACTACTGGACGGATCCACAAAATTCAAACGGCGTTCGAAAGGCCTGTCAAATTTTTTGAAAAAAAGGCCTGCCAAAAAAAAAGTTTCAATGTCTGTCATAGCTACACCGAGTGACCGATCGCTTTGAAACTTTCAGCGATTGCTAAGAGCAATAGCATGTACAAAATGTATATCTCAGAATTTTCATATCGATGACCTAAGGTCAGGTCAATTTTGCGACCTCCCCATTATAAGTCAATGGGAGAAAATTGAAATGCGCCTCTTTTGGACGAAAGACATTATAAACACTCCCAAACACCGAATTACAAGTGGTTTAGACACACAGAACATGAAAATGGTGTCCAAGACCCTTGTTTATGCCCTGAGGTCATCTAAGGTCACGAATGGTATCTAACAGTTTTTCGCAAATAACTTTTGATAGAGGCATGCTAGAGCGATGAAAACGCCTTAGATGTGTTCAGCTCGACAATACGGATCGACTGATATGCAACATGACCCTTTCCGGTCAGGTCATGACCTTGACCTGAGGTCAAATTTTCAAGGTGACCTTTCAAGGTCAAGTTATAGTTCATTCGATGCGTCTTGACGAGAGGAACACGATGCCGGTAAAAGTAAGCTCGTACAAGGCTTGGGTCAAAAGTTATTGCAGAAAAACTGTTTCCGAAAAAATCGGCTATTTTTGCAGTTTTTGGCCCCTGCAGGCAAAACCGTTGACGTTAGGTCAAATCTGAGAGAATTACTCAGAAAGGGCGTTAATAGGGCTATCGAATGCGCTTTTCCGCGGCGCTGTAGCTCTATTGGTTCCCGAGTTATGCGTTGGCTTCTTGGAAATTTTCGACATTCGACCTGGAAATCGGCGAAATTTTGCCTTCAATGACCTCTGGTGACCTGACCTTTGACCTGACCTAAAAATGACCAAAGTATTTCCGCCATTATTTTTTACGCTCTTTCGAATGCCGTTTACCCCGTGTGGCTACGTGGCCCAGAAGCCGAGTTAGGGGGGGGCGGGGGTTTCATGCACCCTCGGCTCGGCGCGGTTGGTACCGTGTACCGGCCCGGCGTGGGTTTATACTTTGTGCAAGCATATTTGTGAAAGTTACAGGTTTAATTTAATCGGCAGATGAATATTTATCAAAAATATACTCATGAAATATATGTAAGAGATGACAACGATCGGAAAATTACCAATTTCGCGATGGACGTTAGGTCGCCCACGTGGGTGTGAAAACAACGATTTTCATGACAAAGGATACAATCTCAAACACTTAACCTGTCTCTAACGATTCTTGCCATTCTCATTTATGCCATAGATATCCTCTGAGCTAGCTGAGAAACCATGTTCCGCAGAAAAATCACTTAATTAGCTCCGACACGACGCCCTCAACACGCACGAGGCCGGCCGCGTCCTTAGTGAAGATAGTTCACCTAAATGCCCACCAGGTGGCAGGGGAGACAGGTCGCGGGGGGAGTTGCCGATGGACATGCCTAAGAGCTGGACTTTTTGCACGCGTTCCCCGCCAGGGGGCGCCACTGATGAAGCACCCTCTGACGTCACGATAAAACTGCGCGCACTGTGCGCACGGTTCTGTAAGCAAGTAATATAGTGGTGGTTTCATGGTGGAAATTGGAATAAGTATTTTGACGTTGTAAAATTTCAAGCCGTTTTTGTGAAATTAATTAGTAAATGCATTTCAAAAGTATTTATTCAAAGTGTGAAAGGAGAATAATTAGAAGAACATGGATATTTTTGTTCCAATAGCTTATTATGTGAGACATGATCGGTACTAACGGGTACTTCTAAGAAGTAGTGAAGAAGTACCAAACAGCCTGCTCGGCTACGATCGTCAGCTGTCCTTTGGAGCTGGACTTCAACGCTGTAAAAAAAATATGTGCTGAATTAATTTTTAGTTTCACCAAAATACAGGCAATTTATCATTTCTTTTTCACTTTTGTAATTATTGTTGAGTGAAGAGACATGTTGCTAGTTCTGACAATATAAATTATTAATTAAAAAAAACGAAATGCGACGGTAAGTATCTGCTGCTAAATTATCACTTTAACCAAATACATGGAGAATCTTGCTACCATTGCTTATAAAACGTGCTTATCAATACACAAATGTTTTATTTCAGACAAGAAGGATTTATTTGCCTGAAGTCTTGCGTCATGTGCTACTGCTTTGATTCCAAAGACGCTCTCCGGGTCGGGGTAATTTAGTTCTTCATCGATCGATAAGAGATTTTGATTCCATTGATATCCAAATTGATAAGCTCGGCACCATGGAGTAAGGGCGTCCCCACAGGGGTGACGCAGGAAATATGAATGGCGTTTACACCGACAGTAGTTTCCCACAGATAATGGGAATCTCCTGTCGGTGTAAACGCCACTATAGTCCCATCCAACTCAAACACTGGGGAATATCCCCGCACTTTTGAAGACGGAAATCTATGGACCTGCTCGAAAAATAGTGGATAAAATACGGCGAGCTTTCAGTTTTATGGTTGGGTCTCCCTTCCGAGGCACATATTTACGGGGGATATTGGGTCATATTCCCCCGGCGTCCTGATGATCGGCGCCCAGCTCAACGTCGAAGGCGCCCTGATACGCGGCACTGCTATCTGTGAAGGTGCCCAGGTTGCTGCCGCTCGAATTTTGGTCGCCTACTTAACAAAACCTCCGTTGGTGCCATCTCAGTTTCCTCGAGGTCAGGCAACCTTCACACGCCGTTGGCTACCTTGGCTGGCCGGCGACTCGTTCCCCTCGTGGCGACGCTCTTGACATCCAGTCAAAAGTTTGAGTGGCTGGCGCCCCCAGTGGGGGCCGGGGAAGGGGCAGTGGGCCTCCACGTTGCTCTCTTCCCGAGCCTATGGTGACTTGGCTCAACTCTCCTCAATAGAATCCGGATTCTGCACGCTGTATTAACATGGGCGTAGACACCACTACGGACAATACGGACAGTGGGTGTGACAATCAGTAGTGCCATTCATATAGAGGGTGTCATATATGAGCGGAGAGGCAACAGTACAGCTGAGCGGAGAGACAACATTAAAACAACAGTACAGCTGGCGTTGCATGGAGCTGCAGGCAACCGGACAGCGGAGGCTTTCGAAAAATAAACAATTCGTCACTTCAACGTATAAACAATAGTAAAAGCAACATAAACACATATTCTCATGGTCGAACCCATGCACTAGCGGCTCACGGCGGGCACAGGCACGCAGTGCGGTAGCGGTACCGGATCACACGTCATGGGCGTTGTCTCAGCATAGGTTGTTCGCAATCTAGTTGAAGCCTAAGAAGACGGCCAGTGGGGTCTCACTGCTGCTGAGGCGACCTCGGAGACGATGCGTCGCCCCTCCTGTCGGCGACCTGCGGTGAGCAGGACTCCAGATAGCTGTCTGGCACGTTGCCGACACTGCCAGACGCTGTCAGCAGGCCTCACTGCTGCAAGTGATGTGCAGATGGACGCCAGGTGACTTCGTCTGCAGGCGATTCCGGAGACCGCGGCCTCACCAGGCAGTACCACCTGCATCGCCATGTCGGTGTTTCTAGAAATGGAAAAATAACAGTATCGGTGAAGGACAAGCAATACAATGTATTCTGTTTTCCTCTCTTGCAGGTATACGTAATCTACAATTATCATTGTTCCTATTGCATTCAACTGAACCTGAAAATTCCATATTGGCACATTGTTTGACTAAATTTGTGTAGTTGGGAACAGGGGCGACGCCACGGTGCGACGACTGGAGGGGACATTGACCATTTTGGAGGGGACGAGGACCATTTCAAGCCGACTCTTTCCATGCAACGCCATAGGCGTAATGTTAAAATTCTAAAAAGTGGAGGGGACGAGATCCCCTCCGTCCCCCCCCTGTGGCGACGCCCTTGGTTGGGAAGCAGATTGTTTGAAAAACATGTTTGGCTGAACAGTGCAGAAAATATTTCATTGATCACTATAGCTGCAACAAAAATACTGAGACAGAAAACATTTGCGCTTACCTGGCTCCTTAGTCAGTCCCGCACAACGGAAGTGGTACCATTTATCGCAGCCGTCGCATCCGACCATCGGTGCTGCACTGATGCTGCTGCACTCCCCACATTCCCAGTACCTTAGGAGCGTCTTGGCTGTGAAAAGATTACATGAGTCATGGCGCATACATGAAAAGTAAGATGTTTTATATGTTTAACATCGCATAGCAAAGACACAACAGCTGGGAGTCAAGTGTAAGCCAAAGTGTAACCCCTGCCATGTTTTGCAGACTGGATTTCAAACAAGAAAAGCTTTGCTAAAAATGACGCTTGACGAAGCCTCATCCTACTGGGCTGTCTGACATGTCTCCCTGTAAAAAGCATGTGGCCCTTATATTGTATATATGATGAATATGTTAATAATGCAGAGAAAACACAGTATAAATTATACCCAACGTTTCATCTTAATCGACTTTGTCAGGGGTGTTTGAACAGCTTGAGATGAGTGAAGTGTAAGGGTACCTAGGTACATCTGAAAATAAACTGAATCTGCGTTCAATAAACATTGATTTTGATAATACATTTCACAAATCAACTGCTAATAACAATCATACTAAAATAGCACGACAGATAACTAACAATCGCATGAAGAACTAATTGATTCGCCTTGACAGTCGTCCGAACGAATGTTGTCTTAAGTTACACATTTGTCTTTTCTGCGCAGCATTTGTGTTTGCCATTTACCGCACCAATGTTCGCCAGCGGTGGTGACTTTTCCTTACCTGCTCACGAAACGTCACACACGACATGACGTCACCCGAAGACGTCATCAAAAAGTCCAGCTCTTAGGCGTGTCCTTGCCGATCCGTTATGTGATCCGTGTCTTAACTATTAACGGCCATTTGATGACGTCATTACTCATTTGCCTTTTGAACGTCTGTCACACATTCAAGTGAAGTATCACTTGATTTACGAATAAGCCAATCAGAGGCACTCTTGTTATTGTATGAGCCGCGTCATATTTGAGAGCAAATATATTTGCTGCCAAATTTCCCCTCACATTGACATGAAGTAAATCCTTCATTACGTCACAGATTCGATATAAATGACGTCACGATGAAATATGAAAGTCGCAATATCTCAAAAAGTATACGATGAAAACGCGTAAAAACTTGCAGAATTCGTCAAAATATCAAGAGTAACATTTCCGAATCCTAAACGGTACTTTTTTGAAGGTGGGATAGTCCCTTTAAGTACATTAGCATGCATCGCTAAAAAGCGGCGTTCATAATTACTTTGTTTTTACTCGTTTGCTTAACAGCGCATCATCAGTCTACTGTTTGGAAGTTCGCAATGTAATTGATTCTAAAACAATGTATAACATTTAAAACTCTCACTAACACACAAAACAACGACATGTCTAATTTGCAATGCTCGCTGCTTTCTCACCTTTTACAGGCAATATCCGAATTCCTTCCAGAATCAGCCACCGCGCCGGGAGCCGCCCGCCCGCACACAACGGCTGCTGGTAGCAAAAGCTCGCGCGCGCGGCGGCCAGCCTCGCTCCGGCCGACCGGCCACCGCCCGGGGGCAGGGCAGGCGCAGGGGCGGCGCCAGGCACAGCGACTGGGGCGGGTGGCAGCGGCAGACAGAGGCGGCGTCAGGCGTGAAATCCGAGGGTGGGGGACATCGGCAAATGAGCAGCGGAGATGATGTCTAACATGAAAGTGGGCTACCTTGCCAAAACAAACAACTGTTAAAAGTTCGTAAAATATTACAACAGTAATAGTACTGCAGTTTCCTCAGCAAAAATTTGCAAAAGCTGAAATCAGTAGTAACTAAATATAATGTTGTTGTTGTTGTTGTTTTGGTGTAGGGCGCATAGCCTCTTGGGCTCAGAGCGTCCAGAAGTTGTCTTCACATCTTCTTCTCTTCCTTCTTGTCATGGCCAGGGAATGGAACTAAGCGATCCATGGGACAAGGAAATGCGTTGCCACTTGCCAGGATTTGTCCAGTTAGGAATTATCAGTTTAGGTTGGTATTGCCGTAGTTATTATGGTATTGCCGTAAATATAATGGACTCTCCTAAAGATGCCACTGCTCGTGAACGATTAAAATCATTCAAAAGGAAAAAGATAAGTCCATTTTCGACGGCTTCCTTTTATGCATCACTGCAGAGTGTACAGTCTGTCTTAAAAGTACCGCGCAAAGTGACGGTGGATCCATCAAGCTTGACCGAGGAAGGGCCCTCTTTAATTTGAAAGTTACCGAACCAATTGACCTGGGGAATGGACGAGAGTGTCAATTGCTTCGGTGACTCAAATTTAGCAGGCCCTTCCTCGGTCAGGCTTGATGGATCCACCGTTACTTTGCGCGGTACTTTTAAGACAGACTATACAGCAAGTGGCGAAATTCCATCTTGATCTAGAGTTCACCTCCCATCGCGCTTTTACATCATTTTATCAAATTTGATACTGTGTCCCGTATCAGTTTGGCATTTGGTCTCATTTTACTAGCATTCCTCCAACACATTTATTACTACCGACTTTATCAATGCATTTAATCCAGCCGGGCCATCGTACAATGTGAAAGACTGAAGCCTATCCGAGAACTATTAACGTTTCCAGCCGATCGAACTTTACAACTATACACTTATTCATAGATAACACGAATCATGAAATGATAATGAGATGATGATGATGACATGAACGATAACATGATGGTGGAATAATTGGCGAGTTACTTCTGATGTGACATTGCCATATAAATGAGATACTACTTACTCGATATTCTCCGGGTGCAGTAGGTATCGTGTCCGTTCTTGATGTAGTTTGTGCTGCTCCAGATTTCAGCCGTACCACCCCACACCTGTTTCACAGCATACTGATTGTAGCTACTAACGCTCTCGGTTACCATAGGATCATCAACAAACGGATATACTAAAATGGTTAATGGTTAGGTTACCATTATCAAAGCAGGAGCAGAGCCTCGGGTCCTGGTAGCACAGGAGGGATTCAGGCGTTTTTTTTTTTACCCGCCATCGACTGTAAGAATGGGACCTGTATTATATGATCCTGTGTATATTTACTTATCGCGTAACTCGTGAGTGATGGTTCGGGAGCTTTATCGCCATAAGGGGGATAAATAATACGGTTTTAAGAGGGGGTGCTGATGTGAAATAGCAAAAAAGGCACCAGCGATCTTAACGGAACCGATGTATTGCTAGCGTTCAGGGTGAAAACGTCAACAACGCTCATTTTTACCAACATGGCAATACAATAACACTCTTATCGCCACCGCCGTCTATAACACAGAGTTTGTGACGCCATGCTCAGTATCGTGATACTAAATCAGGGAGCACTTCTGACCATATCGCACCATCACCTTCCGGTGAGCACAGTTCGGCCCACCGCCACCCAGCCTCACGCTCTTACAGCTCTCGAACGCACACAAACACACAAACACTTCAATAAACATTCTCTGAGTACAACAATGTGCGCTACGCCTTCGTATGTAGGCATACATGTTTGCAGTAATACTTTGACACACACACACGGGATCTGAATGGGATCGTCCGTCCCCGGGCCGGCCGGGCGCATACAAATTATTGTTCCGGTTGACGAATCAGATCATCGTTCCAGTTGACGAGCATTCAGTGTCACTAGGGGTCACGTGCCAGCATTTTGACGTCCAGTTCGGCAGCACAGGTCTACAGTGGATATTTTAGTGATCTGGTATCACGAATCGACATTATTTGGTGACGCACGTCCACAGTGATTGGTAATCTGTGTAGTGAGACATGTCCACATGATTTGGAAAGCTTTGAACCGAGGGTATTACAAGCCCTGGGAGGTTTTGAAGAGCTCCATTGGCTGCAGCCACGGACGTAATTAATAAAAAAAAACGCTACAAATAAATGTTTATTTATACGCCCGTGTCTGCGGCCTACTGCTGGAATCCACCTGCTGATATACATTCGATGCTGTCGGAGTCTCGCTAAGTATCATATCACTGACTCTTCGGATGGTATGAGCTGGACAATGAATGTTTCTGATGCACATCGTGCTACACGATGACCAAGGATGTTACACAGCAAAGACAGCGAGCCACCGACAGGGACTCGCGGTAAGGTGTCCTGGACATAAGTTCATTATCGCTAAGACCCTCATGACTGGCATGCAATCGACTGTAGTCCGAGACTACTCGTTGTGGCCCCTGGCGAATATCCCTAAATAATTCTCGCTCACTGAAGTTTTTGCTTACGGCTACTGTCACAGTCATCACCTGCGTGATTCACAGTCACTGTCCCTTTGCCCCAGGGCTCCCAGCGCGGTCACTATCGCTATGAGGCGAGGTCCGACCAGCTCCCAGCAGTATCAGCCGGAGACGAACATGCCGAACAGCTGGTCGAATCCACGTCCATCGGCCGCTGTAGCGCTCTACACGTATCGAAACTCGTCAGAATCACTCGCGCTGCCTCCTCGAATGAGTACAGCTCAGGGAGGGGCGTTCGCTCCGACCCCGTCGTCCGCTCCCTCCTCCCGGCTGTGTCTGCTCTCTCCACTCTGTCCTCCCCGTCTGTCGACTTTGCCGCCTCGGGAGGGACACTCTCAGAGCCTCTGCGAATCGTCGGAGAGTCTGAAGAAGGTGACGCGTCCTCTGCCACAGGAGAACAGGGCGCAGTTCTGCTCTCCGATACGGGACTGTTTGTCTCTGTCGTTGGTGATAATGGCAATGCTGACGGAGGACACGATGTCGAGGTTTGCGATGTTGGGTTAACTGACGCTATAGCTGTTGACACTGAAGCTGAACAAGCTGGAACTGAACCTGTTGTAGCAGTAGATGTTGAAACTGAAGACACTGGAGTGCATGATACTAGAGAAGCAGGCGTCACAGCAGTAGACGAAGAAGAACCAGACGCTGAAACCGCAGACTTTGTTGCAGCTGATGCACAGGCAGAGGAAGCTACAGCGGGGGAGAGGGGCGGAGCTTGTGAAGGCGACGTCAAACTCATCCCGATGGCTGCCAACGGGTTCAGCGTTTGAGCGACAAGATGTGTTACAGTTGAGATCGCAGGCCCGGCGCCTGTCTTCCCTGCAGTCTGTCTAGAAGTCTGACGCGCAGTCTGACCGGAAGCCTTTCCTCCAGACTGACCAGAAGTTTGGGACGTCTCAGCGGTTCCCGACAGACCCGCAGAAGTCCTGGATTTGGTCGAGGACTGGTTGGAGGACGGCACACCCGACCCAGCGGAGATGCGGTTCGCTAAGATAACCACTGGATCGCCGGTCCGAGCCAGACCCGGGTTCAGCGTCAGCTCCACAGAGTGATCCCCTCCAGGAGTTCTAGACGAGAGTTCCTGAAGAGTTCCTGGAGGAATCATGGAAGCGGCCACGCAGGAGGCAAGATGCCCAACTGCGGAGGAAGTCGGGCGCTGATCCTGCGCCCGCTCTACTGATATGTCCGCTGGACCAACACTCTCCGCCACCGCTCCCTGACTTCCTCGCCTGATGCCGCGGTCGCCGTAGAAGCTACTTCCCTGGTTGTCAGACCGACTAGCAGAGTTGGTTTCGATTGTCAGCATTGCAGTGGTTGTCTCCACCGGCAGTTTCAGTTGGCTGACACTGGGTGTAGCTAGGCCAGCCACATGTTCGGCATCAAAGCTGACGCAACTCCGCTGAAGAGGAGGCCGCAGAGACACGGATGATGTGTCGCCTGCAAACAGAGGAGGTAAGTTAGAGAGAGAGAGAGAGAGAGAGAGAGAGAGAGAGAGAGAGAGAGAGAGAGCGAGCGATGATAATCACATTAACCCTTCTTCAACCCTCCTACATACGAGGGTTGAATCCTGAAACCCTCCTCGTACATCCTCCTGTGCGATTTGTCACTTGAAAATGACATCGCACACTTCAGAGGTTACGAATATAGTGTTAGATGGCTTTTAGTGCAAAGCCCGTCCGTCGTTTCCATACTCAGGATAACCAAATTCTTCTCCTCCACGCCGCAACCTTCGGTCCGGACTGGACAGGCAGCTTTATCTCATGCGGGCTGCTCCCTTGGAGCGGCGCCGCTGCTCGGGTGCCGTGAGTACTGGGGGGGGGGGGGGGGGGGGTGATCAGCCTGTTCATTCGGATAGGCTCAGCTTCGGCGACTCTCATAGGGTGTCTGCCCAGACCAATGTCTCCCCCCTAAATCCTATCATCCTTCCGGCTCTGACCGAAAGGGCCTAACCCAACAAAACAAATTAGTGCCAAAGCAATGGGCTGTTAGGGCCGCAGCTCCTTGCCGGCCGAGGGAAGTTGGATCCGCCAAATTTGGGCTACTCCAGCTGATAATAGGTATACCTACCCACTGTTCAGATATGCCCATGTATACTACCCACTGTCTCTGGAGAATTATTGGAAGAAGCCTATAACATATTGAATGCAGCTTGAGAGTGTACGAAGATTGCATATGTAATGTGTAGGTATTTTAACCCGCGCCCCGTTGAGGTCTGGCAGGTTCCACGTCCTGTTCGGGGGGGGGGGGGCAAAGGGCCCCCGTCGTATCTCCGGAACCAATAGCCGGATTGGAAACATTCAAACGGCATTCGAAAGAGCTCATCGGGATGCACAAGATAGGATATTGATGACCTTGATATTTGACCTATGACGACACAGAAAGGTCAAAAAAGGTCACATTGTACCTGTTTACAACGATTTTTTTTAACTTAAAAGTGACTCTACTCACGTAAAGGATCATATCCAGGCACGAAGAGGTTGATAAGCATCATAAATATTACGAGAAAATAAGCAATCAGGCGACATAACAAGAGCAACACAGTATCGCACATAAAATCATGTATATCATAAACGTTTCATGTTTCATGATTTTTCATGATTTTTCATGAAACATGAAACGTTTACGATATGCATGATTTTATTGCGATACTGTGTTGCTCTTGTTATGTCGTCTGATTGCTTATTTTCTCATAATATGTACTGTTGTGTATAACTTCACTGATGATGTCTTTGTTCAGAGACGAAACGTTTGGTATAGCTGAATTACTGAGAAAGCTGGTTGTCGCACATTGATTTCACAAACTATCAACTTTTATCGAAATTATTTCTACCTGGCTTCTATTTCCCAGTCTCTCAGCTCGTATTTGCCTGTATTTACAACTCCACAGGTATATACGACTTCTCAGGAATTATAACTGAACTAAGTAATACATCCCATGGAGTTTTATATAGTGGTATATCATCGTTGTTCAAAATTTTTATTTAAATATTAGTCATAGCTCCAATTCAATGTGCGCTAACCAGTGTTCTCTGTAATTCAGTCAGCGATTCTCGTGCTGTCTTCCAAAAGATATTTACAGTGAGGGTCGAACTAAAAAAAAAAACGAACTATAGTTGACCTCCCAGATCACATGCCCATGACCAAAAAGTCGAGAAAATCGATCGGAACCTGCTAGAAGTGAGAACCTCTTAAAATGGGATTGTTATGGGGTATTCTGGGTCCTGATTTCGACTTTCATTTGCGTTTTGAACAGCGATGATATATTCATGTATTTGGGGTGGTTCATGTCAGGTCAGGTCAGGGCAACCAGGGCCTCGTTTCATAAAGCGAGTCCGTAACTTACGCCAGTTTTTGGGCTTGCATTGCAAGCGCATGTGAAGCGATAAATTTATTTGCCCTCCTCTCTTCTGTTCTGGCTTGCAAGATAAATAAATTCAACGATTCAAGCTATCGTCGTCGGTTCACATGCACTTGCAATACAATACCAAAAACGCGGCGTAAGTTACGGACTCGCTTCATGAAACGAGGCCCAGAAGGCGTCCTGCCGCCTGTCCATGCTAGGTGTTAGCCACCACTCCTCTCATAGTAAAATGTTGCATAGATACCAAAACTACGTCTCAGATATTCGAAGGGGTGATAAATTATAAATCACCCAACAAAAACTACCCTAGCAACTTGTAAGACTAAAAAAATGAGCCAAGACAATCTAAGCCAAATGATTTTGACGGTTGACCTGACCCTCACGTGTCTTGACACCCACCATAACGCATGGGACCAACATCATTTCACATGCTGGCATGTTTCTACAAAACACGTGCCAACGCCTGGAAACGCAAACGTCTGGAAACGCACGGAAAATGCGCGCTGACATACGCCCAATCGCAATTCCAGCCTAGCATGCTCTCGAGAAACAGGTCACATGTCAGTGGTCATCGGGCTCAGGGTCATGAAATTTTCAGGTTCCAATGTGTAATATTAGTCAACTTCAGAGTACTGAAAGTTTGGTCGCAATCAGCCACTTTTAAAGCAAGCAATTTGCAAAGAAAAACAACGAGGAGGGGTTAAATCGCCCTATTAGTACGAGGGTTAAGGCTCTATTTTTGGCGGCTGTTTAACGGTCACGTCTGTGACGTCGAAATGTACCGTGCAGGGGTCTAAAAAATTGATCCTGTTCCGTCATCTCGGGCATTTTTTTACAACTAAGATGTCCAAAGCGATGGGGGAAATGTGATAAAAGGTTCGCGCTTCTATCTCTAAGGGCCGCCCCACACTGAACTTCGCATACGCGGGCTGCGAGTCTGCGGGTTTCGGGTATGCGGGTTCATGTTTTTAAAGTGTATTTCTACGGCGTTTTGAGGCTTACCATTTGTGTTTAATCCCTCATTTTTTTTTAAATCTCGTTTAATGTTAGATCGTTTTAGCCACTTATATTCCTCTACCAATGGTGTTCTTTGTGTGTGTGGTAATGTATGACGGAACGCCTGAATAGCCACCATGTGGAAGGTTTTTAAATACACTGATACTGATACTGATACTGATTCATTCATGAAGTGAGACACCATTATTCTATACTCAACCCATGAATGCTGTGAAGTCAATACACATTCAGCAAATTACGTATTGTCTCAATAACAGCACAAGAAGCAATAACTGACACCAACAAAACACCTCAAAACTCGCGGCCCTCGCAGCGAGGAAAACCTAAAGTTGACTCAAAGTCAACTTTTGGAATGCGAGGCGGGATAGCTCGCAAGTCAAAAACTTGCGGACTCGCTTTTTAGATGGGATTGTCGGTCACTTAACGGAGAGTGTATTCTTTAACTTTGAAGAAACCCAAAAGCCACAAACTCGTGACCCGCATGCGAGGTCCAGTATTGACACCTCTCCCTACTTGGCCCACGACAGTTAAATACCGGCCGAGATATAAGCGGAACGTATTGAGCCCAAAACTTTGATTTCTACGCTGTGTGGATCATTATTTACCAGTTCGAAGTTTCAGCGCAGTCGTCTTAGTTATTGACGAGTTACTTGACTGCGCGCTGACTTTACACTCCTTCGTTTCGCATGTGGCACATGCAATTATGACCACCCATATATGTAGAGTGAGTGGCCCGATATTTATAGAAGGGATGAAACTACTCGAAAAAAAAATACCGCAAGTCAATCAGTCCAGTGGCTGCTGAGATGTACATTGTACAGGTCTCGCGGGTTTTAAGGGTAGGTTTTGCCTTTCCGGATATATCTTTTTCGTCTTCAGCTTTGTAGGCTTAAAGATGTGACCGATTTATTCGTATAGCTCCCTACCATGATCATGGAAAAAGGTTTGATCGTATGCCGGCTAGTTTCGGAGAAATTTACAGAAAACCTCAAAATCTGCCGTTTGGGGCATTCTGGCCGCGGCTTCCCTGCAGTCGCCTATGACTACAGTGGTGCCACCCAACGAGTAGGACGCTGAAACATAGAGGCATGAATGAATCCAGCGCGTGGTGAACGGTGGATAGAGACGGGACTCGGCAGAGGCTATCACTGCGGCCCGCCGCGCAGGGCGTCCTTGGACAGCGGCCGAGCCCTCGGGCGGTGAGGCCAGAGGTCACGAGAGCACGGCGCTATTTGGCGCACATGAAGGGGAGGCGCTCGCCTCAGCCTTGTAACTCAGCCGGTGTGGTGGGGGGGGGGGGGGACGGCAGGCGGGAGGGGCTAGAACAAACGGGATGGTGTTGTAGGTTTAAAATAGATTGAAAATGTCGTGTCATGGTCAACTTAAATTATATTTTACCTAATAAACATTTATTAACATTACGAAATTATGTTTAGGCCAGAATGGGCATTCGGCGTGTCAGGTCTCATTAACCCGGCGGCCGCTGGGCCTCCGCGCCACCCGCCGGCCGCTGGGGGGGGGGGGGGGCAACAGTTGCCCCCCTTTACTTCTGCGACGATATCGTCGCAACATGAAGAGATAGAGGAGAGCAACTTTGCACACATCTTCATGAATGCCTAGCCGAGGTTGTGTTCCAATTTGTTGTCAATCCCATGTGAAATGACACGCCAAGCTTTGCCAAGTTTCACGTTCGTAGCTCATCAGGTTTCGGAGATATTCCACAAAACGTAAAGGAGGGAGCAACTTTATGCCCCCCCCCCCCCCAGCGGCTCGTGGGTTAACCGCTCATTTCTAGACTTGTGATTAGAAACGTCCCAACATGTGAAATGATGTTTGGTCCCTTGTGGCTTTCTTGGCCGGTGCCTTCAGGGCTGTTTAACTACAAATTTGCCGATCTGCTGAGCGCATGGAGCCGATCTAGCCAGGTTAATAACCACTAGGGGTGACATTGCGGCACAGTCAATCTTTAAGGTTTCCGCGCCCCTATAGAATATCCGCAGTTTAGCTGCCGGTTTCTGGTCACATGGCCTTAAGGCGAGGTCATTAGCGATAGAAATGG